CAAGAGTTTCTTTGGTTGGCTTCGAGGCACCAGGAATGCTCTCTGAAATACTGGTAAGTATTTATCCAACCGGCTCCCAGCAACGCAATGCTCCTTTATTTTGTGTGAGTGTAAACAATGTTAAAGCGCCTGGTGATAATCGTGATTCTGGTGTCATACAGTCTATCACTGGCAAATGTCCGCTGTCGCTACCAATATTTCCAATGTTACGCTCAGCAGTAAAAACTTTACACTGTAAATAGGTCAGTGTGTTCTGATAGTTTGATTGTAGGACTACTAACAGCGCCAGAACACGTCTTGGCAGATTTGATTTAGTGTCTAACATTTAAATTCGCAGACTCTAGCTTATTCGTTGCATATAAATGAGTATTATGCGCCTTTACTGCGATAAAAATGGGGAAAAGTCCGCAGTAACACTTTGCAGCACGCTGACCTTGATCGAGTTGTCCCCTAGCAGCTCATACACTGTATCAGCGCGTAAGATTTTACCTCGAGTACCTTGTACTCGAGTCATGTCGCATTTCCAGGACAGCCCTTCAGTCTGGAAACAAACTACATCAGGCGCGACACATCTGCTTTGCATTCTTGTATTTGAGGCATTTCACGTCGTCACTGACATAATGCAGTTGGTACAAGAAGGTAGTAATTTAATTTGGCTATTATAAGTCTGTGCACACTTTGAAGTAGACAGTGACAGCGGTTATGTTGTCAAATGTAATCAAAAGCCGTACTTAACGCTTCACGTACTAAATCGTTTACATCATTAAAAAGTTTAACATACAAAGATTAAAAAACAGTTTAAAATGACGTACTCTGACCAGAAATAGACTCCAGTCATGTCAATAAAAGCCGATTGTTTTACATGGATTCAGTTGCCTTCATGGGGGCAGACATGTTAAGATCACGTGACGTGACTAGCCTTAAATTAATTAGGGTTTATTGCAAAGTTGATTGCATTTCTAATAACTGAAATCTGTGTGATTCTGCATCTTGCCACTAGTTGTCAGTATAAATTCCACGGTATACTTTTTACGCTACTTCGGCACAGTCGAACATATACAAGTATGCATTCGAAAAGTATACTGCTAATTGCAAACACAAGCGGTGGACATATGCACTAAAAATGTCATCCTTGTCAAGTTTTTGTACTGAGCGGTTAGAAAAAACTTGCTGCACGTATACAGTACGCACATATTGTGCTGATGACAAAATTTGTATCACGCATATGCCTACCCTAGCTTACATAGTATACTTTGGAAAAATTGGGCTGTACATGTACAGTATGCAGGTACTGTGCTGATAACAAAATTCACACTGCATACACTAGCATGCGTGTAAAAACTGAAAAAAGTTTTTTGCATCATAGTTCTTGTAAATGTCTTTATAAATGAATATTATTATTAAAAATATAGCAAAAACTGAGAAATACATAATGGTTAGCTTTTATTTTTTAGTCAGCATTTTTAAATCACTGATAATGAAAGACAAGGTTACCGTTTTATGTTTTTTTTTTTTTTTTTTTTTTTTTGTTGTTTAAACTTTATTGTTGTCTAGATGTATGTCAAGATTTGCATTTTCAATTTAAATTTTTTCATTTATTGGCATAACAAAAAATAAAATATTACAATTGAGTTAAGTTTAATTTAAACATAATGACTGAAATGTTAATTTAAACATTTACATGATTTACAAAATATTTTTGTTTAAAACTCAGTCGTAACTGGTTTCACCAGAGTTCAAAAGGTCAAGGGTGAATAGTTTTCACAAAAACTGTGTCAAGCATTATTGCAGGTATTTATTATAAAAAATGGTTACATATAAGTCTATGTAGGTTACATTTGTGATTAAAAAAAGTATTTTTCTAATGGCTGTGTATAAATAATTTATAGAAACTGTCTTTGAAGTGTTGGTGACCACTAGGCCCCTCTTGGACGTGATTGGGTATCTCTGGTCTTAAGAAGTTGTAATCCAGTTTAGCAATTAACCTTTCAATAGTCAAGGCTCGGTGTACAAGGTCACCTTTTGAGATCTGCTCTGACAGTCTTTGCTCTACAGTTGTAATTGCATGCATACTGTAGTCGAAGTTCAAAGGCTAACGCGCTACTTATCTCAGATTTCTCTGCTGAGAATCAGATTTACACAGTAAACTTTAGATTAGAAATCAGTTGATCACTGCTACTATGCTTTAATTTTACACAAAGCAGCAACTGACGACAATACGGACTACTGTGACTAGTTTAAGAATAGGACCAATGTCACCAAACACAACTAGCATTCTGAAGTAGAGCTGTTCCTAGTGTACCTCAAAAAATAAATCCGTAACCTAAAGTGATATAAAAAGACAAGTAGAAATCTTTAACTAATGTTACAGAACAACTGCAGCACTGAAGTCTAAAACAACAGTTTCACTTTTGGACATTAAAAAATGTGACACAGACATTAAGTTCTTTTAAACAACATTATTCAGTGCTGTTTGTTACACCTATACGCTTCATAGCAGGTAACTTACAAGGAGAATAGAGTTACTAAAAGATCAGATTTATTGGCGAGTATTTGGGCTGCTTCAACCTGACTTTTGTCTCAAAATATAATGTTAAATGTTAAAAAAAGCTCTACCAACTTAGTTTATTTGCATGTTTCTCTCATTGTCACCCTTTAAAGTTATATCTGAAATCAGCTAACTGCACCAAAGTCCCTGGGATAGTTTATCAATGTACATTTAATATCTCAACAAGATACATAATACCTTTTTGTGTGATTTTTGTTAATCTTATCACAAATTATTCTTTCTTTTGCTCAGTATTGTTTTAGTATCATTAAGTTTTTTTTTTGTTTTATTAATATTTTGGATTAGTTTTTATATTTTCCATTTTATTTTAATTTTAATTAAGGTTTTTGTAATTTTTTGTTATTTAAATGTTTTTTTTAAATATGTCTATATATTTATTAATTTTTGTTTCAGTGTTAGTTATTTTAGCACATCACAAATGAAATGATAAATGTAGCCTAAGTTTTTATTACTATTTTGAATTAGTTTTTTATTTTTACATTTCATTTTAATTTTAGTTTAAGTTTTAGTAATTTTTTTTGTTTTAAAATGATTTTTAAATATGTCTATATCAATTTTTGAATCAATTTTAGTTTGTTATTTTAGTATATCAAGTTGAACTAAATGAAATGAGAAGTGTTGCTTTAACAACTTGAAATAAAATAAAATACAAAAAAAAGATTTCCATTAACGTTTATTTTAAGTAAGAATTTTGCTATTGCCCATATCTCTTTCATTCTTACTTTGAACTTGCTAAATTGTCTCTCAGCTGTGAAGCACATTTTTCTTCACATGTATTTGCTGTCACACACACAGATCTTTTGGAGTTCCCGTGCCTGTCCTTCAAACCCCTCCAGTGACTTTGACCTTTGGAATGTGTCAGAGAGCGGAGGGGGAGGGGAATGTTGTGCACAGAAATCATATGAGAGTATCCGAGTGTCCGAATGCGTGTGAAGATTGAGTGAATGACAGTGAGCAGGACCGGAGAATGGGTGCATGGGATAAAGACAAAGAAATGGTTTCTCTCTCAGTCAGCATTTTGTGCTAATGGTGTGTAGGTGATGTGGTGTAAAACATGGATACGGTGTAACAGACACAGATTATTACGGGGTACAAAATAAGCCCTATATGAGGTTTATTGACATTGGCCAGGACAGACTTTTTTTTTTAAACAAACAAAAGAGAGAAATAAATGCAATACCTAATGCTGAGACCACATTTACGGCTAATGTTGTCTCTGATTAAATCTGACATTTTTGTTAGATATCTGCAATGCTTTTATGGGAGTTTTAATTTAGTTTTAGTTTCGAGATGAAGATGTGGTTCAGACTAGTAGCAGTTTTGGTATTATTTATCATTGAGCCACTTCATAGCAACGTGCGTCTCTGCTGATGCAATCCATTATATAAGGCCTTATTTTGTAATGCATAGATCTGTCATGTATATTCAGTCTCATACATTTTTTTGATTACTGGCTGATTTTCTCTTTTCTTGTCAGGGTTCCTGATGCCCAGTTTGAACTGACCTGTAGTCTTCTGACACCAAAAGAAAGTGAGAGGTTTTTCAGCATACACAAGACTAAAGACCTTTGGCGTTTGAGCAAAAGGTAAGCTAATAGTTGTAAATATTTTTTCTTATATTTTATTATTTTATTATAAAAAATATTTTTATTCATACTCTTTTATTTTATCATATATTCCCTCTTTAAAGCACTGATGTAACACTGCTTAACATATAAAATATAAATAAAAACGTTTCATTTTTAAGCAATTAAAAGCTGAGGATCTTCAGTAGCTGTAGGAATTATAAAACACATAGATCATATAATCCTAGATCTATTTGAGTTCAGACCTGCTGTATTTAGAGTCCCTGGTTTTATTTTGCCCTTTTCTGTCTCTCATTACATCAAACTTATTAACATAACTGCCTTGAGCTGAAGAAAAACAAACGACTTGCCACAGTGCCTCGTTCTTTCCCCTTTGCTTTTATTATATGTATGGAATAATCAGTCACTAATGCTAAAGCTTTTTCTTTTATCAATCATTATTGCGTGATTATTTGAATATATTTTGTAAAAATGCGTGGCTGCCTGTGAGCAACTCTCCTCCCTCCTGAAGGCATGACTCATGACACGTTTATCTGGGGGGAAAGTGAAATTCAAAGATGCACACTGCTAACTAAACTAAGCTTAGGGCATGTTTATGGGAACACAGACAGATTTCCTTGCGTTTGAAAGGCGGTGAATCAATGAATAGCTATTTTTGGGTACATATTCTCCGGTAGAGTCGTTTGGAGGAGGTGGGACATATCTTGAATGAGTAAAGGTAAGTTAGCGAAAGCTAAGCTAGTTTAGCATGTTCTTATAAGTGGGGAGCAACACAAAGTTAAACACAAAAATTACTTTTAAAATGTATTAAACATTATAGAAAGGGAAAAAAGAATCCAACCTTACGAATTCAAACAAGCATCAATCCGGATGTATTTAGGCTGTGTAGCTTTGCAGAGTACTATAGGAAGTGATTGATTTGGTTGATAAAGTTGTAAAATAGCACACTGAATATTGTTGTTTTCACATTCACATTAGCTATGCCCGACTCGTGAACGATTTGTTATTTTGAGGCATCCTTTTAGTGAACCGGACTGACTCGGTTCGAGCGGATCTCGAGTGAACAGCTTCGACTCTTTGAACCGATTCGTAATGAGCAGAGAACCAAGTGATATGATAATAGAATTTGAAGTGGAGAAGATTTGACTGATGGGTCGAAAAATAAGATGCTTTTATAGCAGAATAGCAGAAATATTACAAATAAAACGTACTGTAAATATATTTACGATTTGGTTGTATAACAGTTATATCAACACGCAAACAAGCGATTTGGTTTTAATTAATAGCATTTTATTAAAACGTGCCAAAACTCAGTAGATGTAAATGGATGTTAGTATCGTTTAGTGTAAATGAACGTTACATTTATCATGGCTGCAACTGCAAACTGAACTCAGGCATATGAATTGCAATAAGCTCCCTTATTAATCAAACTTAAACAGCAGTATGTGCAAATGTATTTACTGGAGGATTTTAGAGCATAAAATATGCCACGCCGGGATGATAGGGACCATGTGATTACGTAATAACGCCATGACGCACGAAAGCCGCTAAATCGTTTTGAACCGGTTCTTTGGAACGAACTGTTCGAAAGAACCGACTCACGGAAATGTGTTGGACTTCCATCACCACATCAAATTTTAAACAAGCTGACAGTTTAAAGTCCTCTATTTCTATGTTTAATGAACCGAATCGGATGTCGCACATCGGTGAGGTTCACGTGAACCCCTGCGGGAGAGACGCACGTGTGTAATGACGGTCGTTGGCACCGCATGATCAGATTGCTGCTTTTCCTTTGTAGTATGTCATTTACATGTTTGAACAGGAACGTTCCTCCATCATCCGGTTCTTTCAGTTTGATGAGGGATTTAGAGATCTCAGTTTGTCCTCACAATGAAAACAGATGGTAGCATAATTCGATAGCGAAAAGTGCTACCTATCAGATTTTGCTTCCAGCATGATATTAATAAGGTGTGAGGCTTCATTAACATGTACACCTACCCCAACCATAAACCTACCCTTACAGTAGGATAAATACAGTGTTGGTAGCATAATCTGATAGGTAGCATTATTTGTCAGAGCAGTGGCGCGTGCCCTAACTAGCCACGTGGTCATTATTAGGTTCACTGGAGAACTCAAAAGCATTGAAAACAATCTCTGAACAGGTCAAAACTAAAGAGTGAGAACAAGTGACTTGTACACTCCACAGTTGTTACTGTGGGTTTGTTTTAACTGGGAAACAGTTCTCACAAATGTTCCATATTTATCATATAAGCAGACTTTTCTGTTGGTATGGGGAGTATAGGTTAAATTCAAAGTTCGGGTGTTATGTAAATTTGGCAGAAAGTACAGTGGACTTGAAGGCATTGGGGCACAGTTACATTCTGCACACTCGCCAAAGTTGCAACACATCACACATAACCAGGTGAAAGGGGAATATGTGTGTGTGTGATGTCCACCGAGGACAAATGAAGAAGGAAATTTAGTTTTTGACCATAATCTGAGTGGCAGACAATAATCATGATGACTCAGTAAATGTGCATTAACCTATGTGTAGTTCATACAATATACGACTCGTATTTCAGTCAGGAAGCTCACAAACCCAGTATTGCTCTAGTAATCGTAAGGAGCAGATGTCATTGCTGGTTGTGTTCCCTACTTGGCAGTCGTTCTGCAACTTGGGTAATTTCCATGTGTTAATGCGCTAGAACGTTTCTCTTTCTCGCAAAATGCTTAAAATGGCAAAATGAGCAAATTTAAGAAATGGCATGATAGGTCAGTTTGTCCCTGAGGGGGGTTTATGGACTGTGGGTACCGTGGAGTGGTTCAGAGTCTGTAGGGCATCACTTGTGGTGGTATAATTAGAGGATTGGTTCTCTCTCCTGGATTAATGACCCTAATCTGCTGTGGGCGGAGGCCATGCCACTGGGATTATGGACAGATTTGCGCAGAATTCTGTTCTTCAGTTTGAATTGCTGTATGTGTTGTGTGTAGATCTTGTAGCAATACTTCAAGGTAATTTATTAATACTGAACCCATGTATTCATACCTGATACTACCAGTAGAACGAAATCTCAAGATATTTTTAAGATTAACGATTAGAGCTGCTGTTGTGTGAGCGTGTTGAGCACTTTCTTACAATGTCCTCTCTCTTGGGTACTGCTGGGAAATTGATTAATTGTAGTGAATTGGTTTGTTCGGAGGTTTCAAAGGGGAAAACAAAGGAAACGGCTCGCAGATATCCTAACATAACACTGCTTGAGAGAGTGAGGACGTATAGGTGCTTGTTCGTTGAATGCTGTCTGCTTGCTCAGCATGCACCTGCATGTTAACTGAATGGAAAGAAGAGCAAGGATTACTGAAAAATAAACTAGTTTCCATCATTACAGGGAAAAACCATTTGTAGTTTATAGCTCATAAGAATTATTGTTTAAAGGAGATTTATGCTGCGTTTACACTGTAAGGCCTATTGCACATATTCAATATTTAGACATGCATTGGTTTTTGTTCCGCCTGTTTACATTCTCTTAAGGAAAACCGATTGTTTTTGCATTATGACCTGCCAAGACTAGGGCTGGGTATCGTTCAAAAATGTTCGATATTGAACGATACTTTTTTCGATACCAATTTTATGAAATAAATTTTAACAAGATTACATTATCAAAAAAAAAACTGGTGGTTTTATTTTTCAGCTTGTTGATGTTTATACAAACTCAAAAACTCATCTCCTGAGCCACTGCACAAAGGAACAAAATGTAACCAACACAATAAATCAGTGCAAATAGTTTTAATAAAGCTCAAATAGTCTTCAGTTTACACATCTG